CCCCTGTCGTTCACCCCCCGCCCGACCTTAAAAGGCTTCTTCATCCATCAAAGTATTTTTCTTGAACCTTGCATCGACTAGGGTTAAAACTTATAAAATAATATTTCTCTGTTGCGATAAGTTCAAGTATTTTAGCCGATATCATATAAATTAGTAATGAAAGTTTTTTCTAAACTTGAAATGCATATAATGGCGAAGGTTTAATGTAAATAATCAGTATCGGGTACCGATAAGGAAGTATTGGGTACCGAAACCTTTTTTAAGTAGTGGGTACCGACAATTCAGCACAACACTAGACACCAGTTTTATTTTCCGCTCTCAGTTGTCAAATCTACGGTGACGTCACGCCAAAATTACTCTCACGAATTCTGCTGCAATCGGCACAATCTTGTATTCAATCATTCTTGCTAAACACTATTTTTGAGTTCACTGAAGAAGGTGGTTCGCAAAGATACTTCATTGCCAGTGTAAACAAATTTCGAGATTCTTTGCCACTATAACAACACAGGGCAACACTGATTTTGATGCGGCAAGTGTGAAAGAACAAGAAATGGCAGAATATCTTTTTGTGTATACATTCATTTGTCAGTGCTACCAAACCGTACTGCCAAATTATCAGTGACACAAACCAAACAGAGCGGATCATAAATCATTGTTGTTGCATTTGTGTGCAATTTTTTTTATACGGATCTCGACCATTGCCCAATAAAACACAGCTAAGGTTTGACAAGATAAAGCACAAAAAAAGTAGTTTTCTGGCTGTCGTTTGTAATCTCGAAACCATTTCGTTTACTTCAAAATTACCCAGAAGTAAACAAAGAATATGAACACAAAGCATAAAGAAAAAAATTAAAGCAATTTTTGAGCGCAAGTTTGTGCAAACCAATTTATTATTTATGCACATACGTGTTTTTGCAACCGATTACCACACACTTCATTTTAATTGTATTTGAACAAAAAAAATTATTGAAAATCAGTGAAATAAACCACCGCCAAAATACACATAAAGAAAACAAATGAATGCGATAGTCATACAATTTTTCCCCAAATGCTATTGCAAATGGCTTATAGATTTTTAATGCTTATTCATAGAAAATTTATAATTTTCATTCGGTGAACGATTTTTATCCAATAAAGTTCATTTGTTAATTTTATTTATAATTAAAATTTGTGCAAATATTTTAAAATAACTAAATTATTATAAACCTAAACTATTGTACAGGCCGCTTGTCAACCGGTCATAACTTCTACTTGGTTCAAGCGTATGAACTACCTGAATATCGATTAATACAGACTTGAGCAGTTCGGACTGAGCCGTATATTCCCAGATTTATACAAATTATCGATAAACTGGGTATACACATGCCAAATTTATTGAACTATCGGTTTTTGTAATTTTCTGTGCCGCTTGAGGGTTTCCTGCCCTATTTGATCAAATAAATAATATTGTTAAAATATTGAAGGGTTTTTTAAACATGGGAAGGGGAAAGAAAAAAGGTAGGCGTAGGGGTCATAGACCGCACTATCGTGGCAAACCCCTTTGGCAACTTTTGGATAATCTGCCCAATCATGGCGTCGGCCGGCTACTTGTTCGTGGCTCCTTTAGGCAAGATATGGATGCACCCAGCTTTATGCGAATTCTGGAAGTAGATATGAGCTCGAAAATGGTGAGTTGCTTTATTAATTCTGTAAAGGTTATACCTACATATGTACATACATACATATATACAACTAATACATACATATATGCTTAGGTTAAAAGGGGAAAAGGAAAGAAAGGCGATAAAATAAGGATACCAGTGAAGGTAGAAAGGGTTTGGCGCGGCGTTATTTTTCCCCGACCGGTTAATATTGCCAGTACGAGCTATTTGAGTGATTTCATTTTGGTAGCAAAAGACGAAGAAGAAAAGTATTTAAAAAATGCCAAGACACCGAATCAAGTGGGCTATGTCTACTGGAATGCAGCCCAAAAGAGACATATACGTGATATGATAGCAGGGGGTTTGGCACCGGCTGAAGCAAAACAAAGGGAAAAGGAAAGGATAGCCCGTGAGGAAGCTGAACAAGCTGAACGCGAAGGTAGAGCACCAAGCACAGCGCCGGTTATGCAATTAAACCAAACTGACTTCATTGATAATTTTGATGAGGATGACGAAGGAGAAACTAGCGGTTCTTTTGACTCCGATTATCAACCCGAAGAAAAGAAAGAGCCAAAAAAGAAAAATACGAATAATGATCAAACTCGTGGTATAACACCAAAAGGCAGCGATTATGAAATGTCTCGTAATAAAGTAAAAAGATATAATCAATATCAGGAAAAACATAGAAGGCCCCGCGAAGAATTCCACAGAAATGAAAATGTGCAAGAAGATTTCGGAGAATTCTCAGCGCTGCAAAAAGAAAGAATAGAAAGAATGGTTAAAAATGGCATGGATCCGGATACAGCTAAGCAATTAGAATGGGAGAGACAAACAGCTTTGGAGGCAAATGCTGATAGCGGGTTAAATGAAGCTGAAGCAGGTCCTAGCAGCAGCTTAAAAAGATCTATGCCGGAAGCATCAAATGAGTATGATCGTGGAAAGGAAAAAGTAGCTAAAATTGGTTAAATTTATACAACTTTGGATTATAACAATATCTGAGAAAATTTTTACAATTTGAAAACATTTCGCAGATTTATTAATTTTGAATGAATTGAATGAGTTTTTAAGCAACCTGAGACATAATATTTGTATGCATGTAGATGAATACATAATAAATATGTATACCCAATTTACACGTTTATATTAAGCGGTTGCAAACGTATTACGTTCTGAGTTTTCGATTAAAATCACTAATGTTCATACATACATATGTATGTACAAACGTTTTCTTAATTTGATTTTAATTAACCAAGTATAGTCCAATTCATATACATACATAAATAAAAATAATTTCACCGTAAAATATATTTATTTTATTTTTTTTTAAATAAAAGTATAGCTCATTACCTAACAAAAACTATATGAATGCAATATTCAGACTTTGTTCAAAAATTATGAAAATTTGTAGGTATAATTTTCCCCTTTTTTTTGTTAAAGGTGCTGCTCGTTTTCTTCTGTATAAAAAATTATCGAATATACTTCGTGGGTAAAAAAATACGTAACACCGTCAACAAAACAAATTTCCAAGATCAACGCTAAGTCCCGGCTACTTCAAACTTGCTCTTTATTTTGTGAGAATTTAATAGGATCCAAGCTCCATACCAATTTTTTCTTCATCATCATTTGTATCTGATTGTTGTGAATTTACATATCCACCGAAATATTCAAATGTAATATCATATGCACAAGATCCCGAGCAGCCCTAATATGTTAATATACTGCTACAAATGCATATCAAACAGGTAGTCATGACAAAAATTTAAAGGTTACACTGCTGAGATGCAGCTTCTTTCGCATGGCATTACAGAGTAGACCTCCCGAATATTTTTGAAGTTTGCTAACATCACAAAAAGGTTTTTAAATTTTCAATTTCACACATATATATGAACATTAGACTGCATCACTCCCCATACAAAAAAAAAGTCGGTACTTTTTTCCATTGGAATTTTAAAATCTATTATATCTTAAGACGTCTACCAAAATATTTCGGGAAAAAATATTAAGATTTAGGCGAGCTGGATCGATTTGAAAATACCTCCAAAAATGGAGTTTTTTATGAATAAAAATAGTTTTTTAAAAATGTTTTTTTTTTTTCTTCGCTGCAAAATTTATGCAAAATGTAGGTTCTTCCTAAAAATTTATAATCTTCCGTATTAAATTAGTTTCCGTATTAAAATGCAAGTTTTGATTTTTGAGCTGGTTTCGATAAATTTCCGATAAAAATTAGAAACGGCACCGATTTATTCGTAATTCCCATGGTAATTGGACCTGAATTACTAACAAATGAGGTAATTCTTTCCCAAAATTTTGTATGGTGATTTACGTAATTCGAAGGGTAATTGGAGTGCGTGTATTTGAAAATGTTCATTTAAACAACCGTTGAACGGTAATGCAAAATCGCAATATACATACAGAGAACGTATATTTATAGAGAAGGACCAAGAACGGATCAGCGTGGAAACTGTCAAATACCAACAAAACTGGCGAAGCGCATTTTAAGAGCGGCCAGCAAGAGACAATCGAATTTNGCTAGTAGAAAAATCACCAATCACTGATATTGTCGCCTAGCAGTAGCAGTCACTATGAACGATTTTTTCATTATTCCCGGTAGTGAAATATCGCTCATCACTAGTTGTAGTTATTCATATCGTTTCATCCCTATCTCAAACTAAAATGTCAACTTCATAAATTTACACCAATTTGCCACACAAGCCTATACAAAATCAGATTGATCATAAACCGAACTAGGGGCGTTATAAGTAGCTTGATTAGAAGCCGGGCCAAGTGCTTCAAAAAAAAGAAACAACATAAATTATCAAACGAAGCAAAATTGAGAAAAACTTCGTGTTTGGAACGCTTGGATTTCTCTACCACTATTTAATCGGATACATATTTCCGTAAATAAATTTTTTTTTTTTTTGAAAATGAGAAAGGAAAAAGGTAAACCGCTTACGGAACTTTTGGATAATCTGCCAAATCATGGCGTCGGCCGACTAATTATTCGTGCCTCCGGTAAGGTAAATCTTGAAGCACCCACCTATATGCGCATTTTGGAAGTAGATATGAGCTCGCAAACGGTGAGTTTATTACTCCTTTAGAGGTTACATGTTTATAAAATTAATTCTCATGTGCATCTTGCATAGGTTCTAACGGGGAGGAGGGTAAAGAAAGGCGGTCAAAAAATTGATGTAATAAAGATACCAGTGAAGGTAGAAGACGTTCGGAACGGCATCATTTTCCCAAAACCAGTTAATATCAGCAGGTACAGCTATTTGCATGATTTCGTTTTGGTAGCAGAAGACGAAGAAGAAAAGTTTTTAAGAAATACCAAAACAGCAAAGGAAGTGGGTTATTTCCATTGGAATTCTGCTCAAAGGAGACATATAAAGGAAATGGTTGAAGGGGGTATGTCAAAAGAGGAAGCTGAGCGAAGGGAAAAAGAAAGGATAGTCCGAGAACGAGCTGTACAAGGTCGGCGCGTACAATTCCCCAGGAAAGAACTTTCGGAACAGGAAAAGGAAAGAATAGAGAGAACCAAAAGTGAAGTGAGTAATTTTCACTGGAACTCTGCTCAAAGGAGACATATAAAGGAACTGGTTGCAGGGGGTATGGCAAAAGAGGAAGCTGAGCGAAGGGAAAAAGAAAGGATAGACCGAGAACGAGCTGCACAAGCTCAGCGCCAAAAACGCCATAGGAAAGAAACTATTCAAGAGGATTTCGGAGAATTTTCAGCACAACAAAAGGAAAGAATAGAAAGAATGGTTAAAAATGGCATGGATCCTGATATAGCCAAACAATTGGAATGGGAAAAGAAAACAGCTTTGGAAGCAGCTGCTTATAGCGGATTAAATGAAGCTGGATCTGGTCGTAGCTGCGGTTTAAAAAGATTCCATGAACGAAACAAATAATGAATGTGCAGTTGGCAGTGCAAAAGTCGCTAAAATTGCTTAAATTAGTACTACATAGTATATATATAAATATGAATTTTTTTTTTGTTTTGAAAGCATGGTATTATCCGGCAGGGGTTGAAAATCACTCGGCAGTGAATTGCAGAACCTGTCGGAATATTTGAAAATTTTCAATAAAGGTTCGCCTCGGTACACATATGTAGTCTGTTCCAATAGCAGTCCGGTTTACAGGATTTAGTCAGAACTTACAGGAAGTCGTTTCTATTGACGTAAAACCTGTAAGTGGGAACACATTTGAGAGAGTAACTGAGCAACTGTTCCTAGTCAGAAGTTACAGGATTTAGTCCGGAGATTTTTTTCCTGTAAGTTCATGAAAAGTGTCAAACGATCAGCTGATTTACATGTGCAAACAAAAACAGAAAGCGGTGAAAGCAAAGAACCTTATATTTGTTATAAAATGGAAGTAAACAACGAAATATTTAAATATGTATAGATTTTATTAATTATTTAGTGATATTTCAGCCAAATCAGTGTAGTGCCAATGACATGTAAACAAACCGTCTGACGTTTTTACAGGAAATAGTGCTTTTTGCGTTCCTATGCACTTCTGCATCTGTTCTCCTTTTACTCTCATTTGAGAGCGTAAAATTTTAGTTTGACAGTTCCACAGGTTTTAGTCCGAAGTTCAAAGGAACAGACTAATGTCAAGACTCCTTGACTGAGTGCGAAAGTAAGTGTTGGCATTTTCTTTCCCTTTTCGTCTTTGAGCGAAAAATAGCTATAATTTGACATCTGTGTCCCGAAAGCGAACACAAAATACATGTTTTTGTTTTTGTACTACCCCTACCACCTTATATAAATTCGACTGGTTTCTTCCCCTCTTCCTCCTTGGGGGGAAAAATAATTGAAATTTTACTTTATGGATAAACTGATAAATTTAAGCAATTTATCCTTTTATCACTATAGATGGAGACCCCTATTAAAGCTTCCGATATTTCAGATATCGTATCGCAGCTCCTGTTATCGATATAACGCGCTCTGGTGATGACCAAAAAATATATGTACATAGGGTGAAATGCATCAAGCCAATGCATCAGTCTCTTTTACTTCTAAACTATAATTGATGGAAATGGCTTAGGATTTCTGCTCATTGGTCGTCCAATCATAGTTGAGTCATAGTTATCGTCATGAAGCAACGATTACACTTCTGCACACTTGGTCGTGATATTTCAATTCATTTGCCGTCTCAAAATTCACTTGGAGCAGGTATTTTCTGTTTTTTTTGGTTGATATTTTCGCGAAATATTTACAAAAACCTGCAATTTTTTAAATATAGACTGTGCTGCAACATTTCTAGACGTAATTTTCCAGTAATATCTCTTCTTTTCTTTTCCTGGAATGTGTTTTGTGTATGCACACAGAGACTTAATACAATTTCGTCATANGTTCCAATTAGGCATTTAATAGTGGTTGGACATTTCCATCAATTATGGTTTAGAAATAAATGCGTCTGGTGCTTTGGCTTGATGCATTTCTGAACATACCCATATATATGAGTGAATGCTTGCTCCACTTTGTATTGTTGAGATATGAAGCATTCGTGTGCTAGTATGTTGTCATCGGCTGAGTATTTATTGTTAATTATTCGGCCTTATGTGAACAAATATTCCCAAAAATTATAAAGCAAAACAAAAACTATTTTTCCCAATTTGTTTATGTTTTGCATGTTAAACTATGGGAACGATTTATTCACATGGAGTAAGCGATAAGGGTGATTATAGCATTTATGGCATTTTATAAGTTATTAATTAATATTTAAAAAGCTGGTAAGCATTGCTCAGCCAAACGTAGGCTGCATTCTACACAAAGAGAGATTAATATAAATTATTATATTGCAAGCCAGATTTAACAAATCTACAAACAAACTACAAAAATAATTCGTGTTTATGTTGTTCTCTCTCTTCTAAAACTTTGAAAGCACAAAGGAAATACGGCCGCATTTGGCACGTACAGCTGTTATCGACCAGTAAGGCGATAGAAGCAAATCTCAAAAAATATAATTTTTTTTCAATTTGACTTTATAGCACGGTTCTTATGAAAGCAATAGGTTTGTTCGTCGAGCAAAAAATTTTTACGAATTTGTACGAATTATCACGATTTTTGCCAAATCGCGTTCGTGCAGACCAAAAAATTATCCAACACTCAAAAATTGTGAGAGCAAAGTGACAGTTCTCTTGGAGAGAAGTTGCAAATTCTTGCTGGAAAAAATTTTGCCAGCAAGAATTTGCAAACACGAAAAACATGTGGTTGTGGCGCATGGTTGCATTTTTGTCTACAATAATTTGAATAAATTAGTTCGTTAAATTTAAAAATTTATAAACACGAGCGATTTTTTTATGAAAAAAGGAAGTAAATAATTGTTGATATAATTAATTTAGTTAATTCCAATGATTTGAACTTAATTCGGCTGAAAAAAATGGTATTCGCAATCGGAATGCAATTGCAACCAGAGTCGATTTAAGAAACCCGACAGCTAGTACGATGAAGAAATTGAAATGTATGTTAAAGAAAGTCAAAACAACAAGAAATATACATGTATATCCCGTTTTTGGACATCCGAAAGAATTTTAAAAATTCTATAAAAATTTTTTATGTTTGAAATGCAACCGTGGACGCCAGCTGGCAGCGAAACTTGCAAATTCCTGCAAATTTGCGTTCGTGCAGAAATTTGCAAGGTTCTCAACATGAGAGAGAATTTGAGAGAATTTTTTCTTACTCTCTGATATTTTGAGTGTTGGATAATTCTTGCTGGATTTTCGACGAACAAACCTAATGTCAAACTCAATCACACTTTGTTGAATACATTTTAGGTGAAATCCCGTATGCCTCGCACTAAAACTCATAAAACTGTCAAAAAATAAAAATTCGCTCAGAGCGAGAGAGTAACATTGAAAAGTAAGGGATCGCTTTCTAGTAAAAAATGATAACTTCTGTCAATTTCGACAAAACCTCCAAATTTTGGTTGTAAATTTTTACTTATTTTATATGTAAACACACTCAGCTCACACATGTAAATAACCAAAAGTACTTTCAAATTCATTAGAATCCACTTAAACAAGTAAATAAAAAATACTTTTCAACATTAATTAGCAGAGTGCACTTTTCTTTTCTTTACAATTTGGTTGCCAAACGCACTACAGCTGATCGTTCAACACATTTACCAGCAAAAAATTCTCAGACTAAAACTGGTAACTTCTGACAGAGAGAGAACCGTATTTACTCTCTTTTTTGTGCTCTCAATAGTCAGAGAACCGAGTACGGGATCGATTTCAAGTAAAATCTGACTGATTCTGACTAGTCCGGTGTCGTACGGGATCGCAGCTTTTGATTCTATCGAGGGTGTTGGTGTGATTTTTTGATCGTTACTAGAACGCATAAATTAACCGATATATCGACTAGTGATATCGATATATTGAATATTTTATTGGTATCTCGCATCCCTACCTAGCGGTGTGTACAGTAGTTTTATTTTTAATTTTAATAAACAATTGATTGCACTCGTTTCTGCTATACGATAATATTGGACATTGAACAAAAGGCAAGACCGCAAAAAAATCCGAAAACGCTCTAAACTTCAGCCATATCAGCCAATTCCAAGAAAAAAATTGAAGAAAGTCACATTCGCTTTAATATTTTGAGCACAGCCTGAACACCTCGAAATGGGTTTTAGAGCCAGTAAAAGGCGTTTTATAGGTAAACCACTTAGAATTGTTTTGAGGAGTCTTAAGGATAATGGGGTTGGCCATTTGATAATAAGAGGTTCAGAGAAGCAGGTCGAAGGCGAACCGACTTACTACCGCATTTTGGAAGCCGATTTGACACCAATAATAGTAAGTGTAAACAAAGCTTATTAAACATAATAATACATTTTTAATTTATCTCGAATCAACATTTCAGACAAAAAAGAAAAAGGTTACTATTTCAGTGAAAGCACAAAAAGTTTTTCGTGGTGTAATTCTACCTGAGTCTAAGGATTTGCGTTATATATCATATTATCCAGATTTTACGGTAGTAAGAAAAGAGGACGAACATAAATACTTGGATAATACTGCGAGCGCAGCTGAAAAAAATTTGATCCTTTCCAATTCTCAGCATTGGGAAAGTGAAGAAGAGGACATGGAAGAGGATGATGAAGATGAAAGCCGCTCTAAAGATGCAGAAAAACTTAATTCTAAAGAAGTTAGTCACAAAAGAAATGTTGACAAAGAAAAAAGAATAAGCAGGGATTATTCGCAAAGTAAGAGACGGCAAAGAAATTATGTGAGATCTCAATCAGATCGGGCCAAAATAAGAAAGAATTGCAAGGAAGAAAAGTTTGGTAATTTTAAGGACGATCAAATGCAAAGAATTAATAATATGATAGAAAAGGGCATGAATGCTGACACGGCCAAACAAATAGAATGGGAGAGGGAGTTGGCTATCAGAACAAAGAGGTAAGGTCCTGATAAATGGCCCCAGTCTGTCGACCAATAAATCGACGAGTATTATGTTCATAAATACATACGTATATTGCGCCATGGTTTGCATCATGTTTCAACGCAGAAACTTTTCTTTAATTTAAATGTTATTTTCAATTGTGTATATCGGAGCTCTTTAGAATAAGCAGTACCTATAATTGTAATATCTATAACCATTTATATTAAATAATGGGTTCCGTATGAAAGTTCGCAAAGCTCGAAATTATGTGTAAAAAATCTCTATCCTTAGTTGAGTCAAAGTAGAAGGAAATTTTTTATAAAAAATGGTAATCAAATAAGCTCTTAATGGATATTTATTTTTATATTTGTCGGCAACAGTTGACATGCAATGTATGTATCAACGGATGTTTATAACACGCCTTCATAGAGTTTGGGACTTGCTGGTGTACCCAGTCCCATCGTGCATTCAATAGTCGGTTTCTCTCCTTCTTTTGCCAACCGTGTTTGCTTATTATGTGTTTGTTTATGATGAACTTTCATAGTGGGTTCTTGAATGCCCGTCTCTTCTCGAATATATTCGCGAAAGAGTGGTGGAAACTCAATTTTGTTGGCTAATATTTGTTCAGATATTTTGTTTGTGTTGTTAAGGTATTTTGTTTCATCTTCTTTTGGAACTAACTCATAGTCGGGTTTATAACTAGTTCTGTATATGGTGACTGGGTTTGGATTTACTATACCACGCCATGTTTTTTCCACCGTAACAGCTACTTTACGAATAGGGTCCTTGGCAGGCTGTTAAGAAAAATAAATTGGGTAATTGATAAATTAAAGAGATTATCGCAGACTTACATCATGTGGAGTAACTTCCACCTTAAGTATACGCATATAGCAGGGCTCTTCATATCGTTGGAATTTGTTACGTATTACGAGCCGGCCAACACCAAAGTCCCGCAGATTTCCCACAATCTCCCACAGTGTCTTACCGCGAAAATCAGTTGTACGACCAATATATTTAACTACGCTCATTGCTGAGGAATTCGATTTTAATTTTGATTTCAATTATTTATGTGATATAAACGAAAATATCTGCGAGGAAAATGTGAAAATACCTGCTGTTTTTCTTTTGAGAAGAGGTAAAACGGTACGAGTACCGATTACAAAATATCGATACTTCTAATGAGTACTGAGTAGTATCGAGAACTCGATACTTCACAATATTTTTGTCTTTAATAGTTGCGTTCCTTATCTCCCAGAAATAGTCAGAAAAAGTCCGAAGTAGTCAGATTTAGTCAGACGAATTTTTGCTGGCAAAATCTTGAAAAGTGTCAAACTCAACTGAATTTAAGCTAACGGAAATTAAAGAACACTCAAAAATTGAGAATAATCTAAAAAGTAAAAAAAGTGAATTGAAATGGGAAGGAGGCAAAAAATAATTGATATACAAGGTGGTGTTACTGGCCATTTTAGATTTTCGGCGCGATTCTTCTGAATGTCAAAATGATCGTGTTTGTTATAACAAGGCGAATTTATACAAGATGGTGTTAATGGCGAATTTAGATTTTCGCCACGGTACTTATTAATGTCAAAATGATGTGTGTACAACAAACACACTATTTTGACATTAATAAGTCCCGCGGCGAAAATCTAAATCCGCCAGTAACACCACCTTGTATAAATTCGCCTTGGCCTTGTGTTACAATATGAATTCGCCTCGATTACAACAAACACATCATTTTGACATTACGAAGTACCGCGGCGAAAATCTAAATTCGCCTTGCATAGTAGAGAAAATGCTGCCACCTGACAAAACTTTCAACAGGGTTGATTCCATTTGTGCGTAGTCATAAGCAGGTTTCCGGTCGTCAATGATCGGAATCTGAAATTTTGATTCCGTTTCAATGCCAAATATTCACCTAATGGAGGTATATTTAGGTAAGCTTAATTTTCTTTACTGGAATAATCTTTCTTTAGTTTCTTCGTGCCATTAAATAGCCAGTGCTTCCAACTCCAATAAAAACAATCTAAATCGCTCTTGTGGGAATTAATCAAAGTGAAGATCGGATCGAGACTGTAGAGTTTACATAGGAAATGCGTCAGAGGCATCGAAACTGGGTCATTAAAAATAATTTGGTTTTAAGAAAAGTCGCACAGTATCGTTTCAATGTTATTTTTTTTACATTATTTTTTCCATAAATATATGTTTTTATTCTATCTTATTAAATTCTTTTAAGAAATTTGTTTCACATAATTTTGTTCACATATTTCGCTAAAATATTAATTTTGAGTAAGTATATAAAACTAGGGTACAAAATGGAATATTTTCATTTTCATTAAATATTTTATACCCCTTAGCTGGAATTTTTCTAATTTACTTACACTAATACTAAATTTTTGCTGTTAATGCATTTGTGGCTCGTATATGTCACAGACTTGCTTTTTTAAAACATGGGTCTGTGTCATTCCCTGGACTCCATGAGCCTTAATTTTCTAGTCAGGTTATCTACTTCCAGCCCCAAAACATCCAGATTTTCCTTTGAAAACAGAATATTTTATTTACACAAATAAAAATGTATTAGATGCTGTTTCAACTTACCTTTAATGTTATATTTTTGAGCAACGTATCCTCTAACACTGCCTGCAGTTTCTTATTTATTTCCAGAGATAACTCCAATGTCATACTTTTCGTATCACCTTTTATGCCATTGTATATAGCCGACATTACACCATTGCCATATTTGGCTAACTCGGATTTATTTTGATCACTTCTGGTGGAGGTAAGTGCACCTGCTTGATCGCGCAGCATATAATACTGGACAACTTTGGATTTTTTCTGCAACTCTGCCACCAATGAGAGTGTATGATTTTCAAGAAAATCTATCTTTTCCGTTTGCCGCGCCGAGGCCTGCTGCAAACGCAATATGCGTTCAACCAAATGTTTTTTCGATGGTCCCTTATTTCAATGGAAATATTTACGTAATTATTAATAGATGTATGTGTATTCTAAAATAAAACTACTAGGTACCTGTAAATCTTGCTGTACCGTTGTGACGCTGCTGGCCATTGTTTCTGACTCCGAAGTCTCGCTTGGACGCCGACTTGTGCTGGGCTGGCTACTTTGACTACTCGTACGACTATGCGTGCGATGTTTTGTTGTTAAAGCAGTTCCACTCTCCCCAAATCCATTGATAGCAGGTGCGATAGCTTCGCTATTTTCCACGGTATTTTTAATTCCATTTCTGCACTGTGAACAATATAGACGTGTAGATGAAGATTCGGAAATTGCTCCGCGCTCTATGGACTTTTTGTACTTTTGCAATTCACGTTGAAGTTCCTGACCAGCAAAATGTTTTTTTTTTTTTGTAGCAACAAATTAATATAAATATAAATATACTATATAATATGTAAATATTTGTAATATGTGGAAATATGTATTGCTTTACCTTTATTACTGTGGCATGCTTATGCTTAGTCGCCTCGAAATCACCTTCAACATTTTCTAATTTAGTTTTTGTTACCTCGTACAATTTGGTTTTCTCTGAAAGATGCTTGGCAAATAATTGTCTTTCCTCCCGCTTTTTTTCTGCCTCATTTTTCAAATCCGCTAACAACTTTTCATACTTGTTGTCGTAATCTAACTTTTCTTTTCTTAAAATATCATTTTCCGCGCCAATGCCTTGCACCTGAAAAACGAAAAGCAAAAAATCATTTTTGTTAATTGCAAGTTTAACCTCAAATGAGTTTCTGCTTTATTATAAAATCACGTGCATTTGAATATGAGCATTTGACAGCAACCGGACATAGCCTCGGTGGCGCAGTAGGCAGCGCGTAAGTCTCATAATCTTAAGGTCGTGAGTTCGAGCCTCACCCGGGGCATAATTTTTTACAACTATTTTTTTTTTAGCGTGTAAATAGCAAATTTTAACTCGAAACTATTTAAAACGTATTATAAGAAAGTATAAGCGTTTAACGCGTACAAAAATTCATATTTATGCAACTGTGGTGATTGTTAATTAATGCAGTACATATAAAGTATATAATTTATTATTACCTTCGACTTTAACAAACAAATCTCATTTTGCAGGCCAACAATCGATTCACTCATCTCTTTGTTGATACTCAACAGTTCATTTTCTCTTTCACGCAACTGGTATAAATCTTGTTCATTATCATGTAGTTTTTCCCTCATTTCTTGCGCGGCTTCAGAAAGCGTTGTGATTTTCTCTTCATTTCTAAAAAAATACATTGTATATCAGATTTGTGGTGACACATGCATTAGTTAATTTTAATTAACTTACAGTGTGTTTTGGGTTTTCAGCACCTGTAGCTCATCCAATTGACCACGTAATTTTGCAGAGTTCAACATCTCTTCGCTATAGGCATTTTGGAGCGAATTGTGTTCGTCCTGTAAGTGCGCTAAAGCAGTGGAGAACTCAGTTTTCTAGGAATTGGAGAAATTGTTAATAAATACTTTTGTAGTAAATACATGCCAAAAGATTACTTCCAAAATTTCTTTGCCCAGTTGTTCTTGCAGCTGCTTGACTTCCTCTTTTGATTTATTGTACTCTTTGCTTAAGTGCTCCAACTGATCTGTTTTGCTTTTAATTTCATGCTTTAATAAAATCGTGTTAGCTTCATACTCCATTTTTAAGTTTTCTGGAAATAAAAAACAGTAAAAAATGTATCATACTGCGTAAATTTTCGTTTTACTCACCATTGGCCTTTTCTTCAAGTTTATTAGGCGCATTTCGTTCTTCCTCCAGCTTCTTTTCCAAAGCCTGAAAGTAAAAAAATAATAACAAGTATAAATTAAGAAAACATTAGAGCCTGAACTCTCACCATTCGCGTTTCTATTTCCATATTCAATTTGTTCGCATGATACTTTAGCTTGGACTCTAGATGAGTGTAATCAGTTTTTAGTTTTTCACATTCACGTTGATACCTGCGAACTTCGTTGCACTAAAAAGAGCGTAATTCTTTAAAATATCATTTGTGTTAAATTTCGAATAACATTCCAAACCTTTTCGTCTATAACATATGCCATGCGTGATTTCTCTTCATTCAGCGCCTGAAAGCGTATGCTCACATTTTTCACTTCTTTTTTTGCATCTGCTAGCTGCTTCTCCACGGCTTCTTTTTCTTTCTTAGCATCCAGTAGTAATTTTTCTTTCATTGCAAACTTAATAACAGTTGACTCCTTTTCTTTATTAGCCAACTCTTTTTCTTTGCGAAACTATGAAAGGTGAAAAATTAGTTATGTGTGAAATTTGTTTTAAACTTACCACTTACAGCATTCTTTTCCTTATCAAGTATGGCATTTTCGCGCTGATATAATGTTATCATGTTTTCTTTTTGCGTCAGGGCAGTCTGTAATTGTTCCAGTTGTTGTTCATAACTCTGCCGCTGTCGTTCAATTTGGGCTAAGCATTCAATATGCGCTATAGTATCAGTGATTTGCAACCTTGGCGTGCTCGGCGAGCTGGGTGTTCCGCCAGTAGATGTTGTAGTAGGAACATTGTTGCCTTCAAAGGAGTCGTCAGTTGCCTCTACAGCTACCTCTTCCTCCACGGGTATCGTCTGCTCGGTTAGCGTTTGCTCATTTGAAACAGCTGTTGCCGCAGGTTGCAGCGATGGCATCGATTTATGCTGTGAAAAAGATTCTGCTAATTCCCGCATTGGCAATTCGACCTTTGATTTAGCCACGTCTATTGGGGTCTCTTCGTTTTGGAGATTTTCTCCCACTTCATCCCGTGCAACAGATTTTTCACTGGCAGTGCCTTCATCACTTACCGTGTTTTTAGGCGGCTCAGTGCCAATTAGAATTTCCATTTTCACGTCCGACTGCTCCATTTCTACTTAAGCTATCGTTAAATGCATATTTTACAAGTATTTGTTTATTTAATTATGTTTTCGCAAATCTTTCACTGCTTTCTCTTCCATGTTTACGCGTCAATGACGGCGGCGTCATATGAATTCAGAGAACGTAAAGCTGAAATTAGTCGAGAACGCAGAACGTATACTTAAACGCAGTCTGTATACGCAGAATTTTGTCGATTACTGGAGCCCTCAGTGTTGCTTACTACAGTGTTGCCACTCTTCAGTGCCTTTTCATAAACTTACCCTTTCAACCACAATTTTTCGTGGTATAATAGATTGTAACTAAATATAAACTACTTAGTTTTCAACAAAAACCTTATTTAATAGTAAATTTCAAATATTTTAAACATATTTCGAATAGGAACTTATAACTTTTTTACCATCTGCAAAACTGACGAAGTGGCAACCATCTAAAGAAGGAGAAATCAGCTGACACGGAAAAATCTAAATTCCGCAGATTTCTGCGCTACGGGCTACAACTACAGAAAAATTCTGCGGTGTTTAGTTTTCATTTACATGGCGCTTTGGTAAGACAGATCGTGTCAGCTGACTCGGGTTTACGTCCCGGTAGGTTTACGTTCTTGACTAATTTCAGCTTAAATTAGGTTAATACGGCAACACTAGAAATAAGCTGTGTCGAATTTGACAGCAGTTGACGCAACGTAGCGTAAAGTATTTAGTCTGTTCGAATACATTTCCCGTACAAAATATCCAGCAGCGACTTGCTGCAGAGAAACGAAAGATGCTCCCTCAAATTGGAAAATGTTAAAAAAGCGCGAACGCCAAATTAGCAAAAACTTCCAGGTTTTAAGTTCAGCTGATCGAAATTTGGTTTACATACAAAAGCGTAAAACAGAAAATATGAAAATAATATAAACTAATGGCCTTATTTATGAAATTACTTTAGATTTAAAGAGCTTTATAAAGTGACATTTTCTTAAAAATTTTCAATTTATAATGCAGTTAAAGTTTTCTTTAGTTTTTATAAATTTGGGTGTAAAAATTTACTATGTGCAACATTTGCTTCATCACCGCGTAACACTGAACCTACATTAACTTTTCTAAAGCTGGTTGGAACGGCTTCGCGGAAGTTATTGAAAGTACCTTCCCTGCCCTTCCTACATCAACCGACGTTCACGTAGCTGAGCGTAAGTTCCGCATGGTTCCACTGCCGCTGTAGCCCGCTTCGGTCCAGACGGATGCCGTTCCAGCTCAGGCGGCTGTTCTAACCATTGAACGTGACAACCTTCGTCAGGTCGATCCCGGAAATCCCCGCATCAGGGATCTCAATACGGAGATTCGGCAACTTGTGAACGAACATAAGCGGAAGAAGTGGGCGAGCATTTGAAGACATGCAATTTGGCCTCTGGTGGGAGAAAGTTTTGGTCAACCGTGAGGTCGTTGTCCAACCCGACGAAGCGTGACGACAGAGTCGAAATCTCTTTTGGCGACCACGCCTCGCGATGCGAGAGCTATTTTAGCTGATAATTCACACTGTATCCTCCGGCGGACAAGGCTAAACATCGAGTGGCCAGAAGGCTGTACAAACAGTCGACACCCAGTGCGCCACTTGTTTTCACCAGCGGTGAGGTTCAGGTAGGCAACGAGAAGTCGAAAATTGGGTCCTGCGGGAATAGATTATTTAACCAAGGTCCTCAACTTGTCCATGGCCACCCTCATCATTCCGGACACCTGGAAGAGAGGGAGAGTGGAACCACTGCTTAAACTTGGGAAACCAGCCCCGAAAGGAGGGTCATATCACTCGATAACCCTCCTTTCCCCGGCAGCGAAGACGCTTGAGCTCTTCTACTCCCGCACTACATAAACCACCTCACCAGCGAGGCATCAGCATGGGTTCAGTAAAGTGTACAGCCCAAAAACAGCAGATCGTAACGCCATAAACACCCAGATAACTCGTAGTCTTAACCAAAACCGCTCCTGTGAGAGAACAATCCTAGTAGCGTTGGATCTGTCAAAGGCGTTTGACACCGACTCCACCCTACTAGACAAGGCATTGAGGCTTCCTCTCTCCCACAGCTACTCAAACGGTGGTTGGCGAATTATCTGAGTGGTCGACATTCGCCAGTCATTTTCAGAGACAAAACTAGCAAACCGAGGAAGATTAAACTGGGGGTCCAACAGGGTGATGCCCTTTCTCCGTTGCTGATAGTTTTTATAAATCGAAACTCCCTCAACCACCACAAGGAGTCTCGATAGTCCCTTATACTGACGACTGCTCGATAATAGCGCCTGGAAATGGATTTGATGACTTGTGTTCGAAAGTAAATTTCACTGCAAGGAGTTTAACGCTCTCCTTTACAAAATCCTCAGCAATCCTTTTCACCACCTGGACGAAGGAGGTCAGACTGCAGCTAAGTATTCACGTCGATGGCGAACCAATTTCGACGGTGAATAACTCGAGAATCCTCGGAGTTACCTTCGGAAGGATGAAATTAATTTTGGCGTTAATGCTGGATCCCAGGTATAAAAATTCCTTCATTGCTTTAAAACTTTTACTGCCAACAGTGATGTGTGTTCCAATATGCTAAAGCTGTGGGGGTCTTTTGCCTTGTCCTTAATTGCTGCCAGAACCATCTCTTTTCCTTTCTTATCTTAACTAGAAATGGCGTGCGAACTACTCTGGTTCTTAGGCCAGAGATCCCATTGCCATCTGGCCAATGATAGCATCTGTTAGATCTGAAGTCACACTGATGAGAGTTAATCTATTGGTTCACGAAGAGCTTCAGCTATACAATATTATCGACAGGACTTTATATGCATTTTTGGCAAAGTCACCTCTTCTCCTTCTTTAAATATGCCACCGATGTCTCTGTTCAATGTTCCATAGCTTATTTATATCCTCACGGTGATGATCAAAGTGGTTTGTGGATGTTTCGCACTGGTGTTTGGTAATGTTTTGTCTCCTTCGTTGTGGCGTGTTAATTTTGCCATTTTTCTGAAGTGACCGACCAACCAAATAAGTACCATACCATCATTCTCTAGAGAAGAAGACGTATGTTGCATTTCCTATACTGCAGTGATGCCAGATTTTGATACTAGATACCAGATTCCACTTTGTGTAGAGTGCAGGAAAGGGGGAAAAACCCGAAAATTAGTAGGGTCGCGCAACTAGAAATGTATACCCAAAATTAAATCCCATTGCACTCCCTCAAACAAGAACAAGAAGCTCTCGGCATGCGCTTCCATTCATATGGCGAACAAATTAGGACAATATGGAATAAATGCGAGAAGGTTTAGGAAGGGGGAAATGCTTACGTAGGCTCTATAGTCCGGTTTTCGTGGGCGGCAGTTGCCAAAGATGGTAGAATGTCGAAGTGAACGTTCTTTCCAACAACGTGGAAAAAGGAAAGGCCCTTTGTACGTATAGAAGATGATGCTCTAGAAAATGTTCCTTTGGCTCGGAATTCATTGGTAGACGGTGAAACTATAGATTCCGCAATGAAAGGGCCGACAAACATACTACAGTGCTATAGTCTTTAAGAAACGATTAGTATTTAAGTAGGTAAGTTCATGTAAAATCGATGGACAAAGAAAGACGTTAACAGAAAAAAAGATATCGGACATTGCAAAACTTAAGTCCAAAATAAATATTTAGGCTATTTTGCTGCCAAACAGCTTCAAAATTAAAAAAAAAAAAACAACAACCTACCAACTCAAAACAAAGAATTTCGATAAATAAACATCAAACATGGAGCTTTTTCAGCAAAGTAAATGCATATTTTTCATTCGCCTCTCCTTAGTGTACGTACACATTTCAGCACCTGCTTCCAACAACCTCCTCTCAACCACGCGACTCTGTCGACTTTTCCTGATTTTCCATATTTGTTTGTTATTATGGTTGTTGTTGTGCGCGATACTTTGCGCCAACGCCGCCAAAATTACCACAGACTGCACGAGTTAAACGAAGCAGATTAGGCAGGCGCAATGATGTGGAGGCGGCACGAAAGGGGAGGCGGGCGCCGAAAGCAACAAATCAAAAACGTAAAATAAAAAATGTTTTGAATGCAAAGTGTGTGCGTCGTGAAAAGTTCAATGGCCACGTTCGAGTGAAACGCAGAAATATTTTCCTACCTACCTACATACTTACCGCCCCCGCCGTTCGTGCCACAGCTCTCAGCGTTTCCGCTTTTTCAAGAAGTTTGCGGTCTTTGATTCGATTGCTTGTGCTTATTGCGTTGTTGCTTTTTTTCGATTTGTCAGCCATTGTGGGATAAGTACATATGTATGGAAATGGTTTTTCATCTGCTTATAAAGGGTGATGCAAAAAGTTTTTTGTTTTGTTTAATAAAGTATTTTATATTACTGACTACTTCCATGAAGCGTGGAACTAGATACATATTGTATGGGTGCATTCCAAAACGCCAAAAATTACGATTACACACCACCAGGAGAAGAGTACAGCAGTGCCAGGCAGAGCAGCTATTGGAAAGATTTATATGCACTATAATTACGGTGACCATTCGTACCGATTTTGGTGGGACTGTGCCGATTGTGCACATTTGTTATCACAAAGAACTTATTTTCTATTATCTTTAGTTATGTTTTATTTTGTCAAACTGGTAAGGTTTTCATAATTATTTGTTTAGTGTTCTAACTTGAATTTAGTGAAATAAAAAAAAAATAATATGGCGAAAATAGAAATAGGGAAGAGAAATATTTAGCATTCCTTGGCTATTCCCCTTTCTTTTGTTTATTTTATTTATCATTTATTTAATGTTTATTATTTTTTTTTATAAATGTGTAGCTCGTTATATATAAAAAAACCAAACTTTGTGTAAAAATTAGCAAAATTCGACAAAGTTTCAACAAAATGTTGAGCTTTTTAATTCGATTTTTTAGAAACATTCTGAGTATGCAGTTTTGTAGGCCATTCAATTTTAATGAAACGAAGTGCAAATTTAAGTGATTTTTGGTAAATTGTTTTGTGGAAGGTGTTGGTAATTTTTTTGCTTAAAAAAAATTGTCGAACATATACTTTGTATGGAAGAAAATGCCAAAAATCAACGGTAAGTCCAAGCTACTTCGAGCTTGCACTTTGTTGTACTAAACTTTAATGGGCTACAAAACTGCATGCTCAAAAACA